TAATGTTTCCCATTGAACCTAGCTTTATTCAAGGGTCAAAAATTAATTTTACTTTTCAGTTTTATTTTTTAAATATATTTAATTAAATTTAGGTTTTTATTTTATTTTTATAAGGATAATTAAATAAAAATAATACAAAATGTTTTAAACAAAATATATTAACCTAAATGTAGTTAGATGTAGGAAAATTATTAGAAACATACATTAATTTTTGTCTAATCAGAAAAAAACGTTCAATTATCATAAACCTCATCCACACCTTTTTTTTTGACATTGTTTTAAACCAAAATAGCCTTCACAGTAATCTTATTATTGTGAAGCCCTAGCATTACGGTACTTTAAGTACCGTTATGACTGCGTATTTTACACGGCATTTTAAATGTTGTGATAACTCGAAGTATTTTAAATGCCAATATTGAGGAAAAAAGGGTGTGGACTAGATTTATGAAATTTGAGGGTTTTTTTTTTATTTGTCAAAAATTAAAGTATATTTCTAATAATTTCCCTTAGATGTATTTTGGTTTTTTATTTGAAAAATTTTTAATTATTTTTATTGAGATTTCTTGTAAAAATGAACTTATATTCCAAATTTCAGATGAATGTAGCATTTAAACAAAGGTAAAAAAAAAAAATACGAAATTAAATTTTTGGCTATTAGATATAGCCTTGTGAAACCTCAACTATTGGAAGGTTGATTGTGCAGCCGTACAATTGATCCCATGATGTGGAGGGGATACTTTTCCTACTATAAATGCCAACAAATATGTATTATTTTGATTCTACATTGGAACATGGGGCTTCTTGTGTTCAAATTGTTGAGTCTTGAAACTTGCACTGGAAAGATAAGTTAGTAGGTGCTAAACAAGTTGGTTGAACTGACATGGGCTGGGTTTGCACGGGGGATGAACCTGACAGCTAGGTTCGGGTCAAACAAACATGGACCTGACCAAGCCTTGGATCCAACCCCATATTTTTTTTTGGTATATGTCCTTTTGTATAATTTAATATATGGGGAATTTATCCAAGTACCCATGATAGATTAACTATTTAGCATTCTACCTACGAGTGTTGATTTAATTCACAATGCCTATCAAAATACACATGATCCTGACTTGCAACTCTATAAGATTTAATCCATATCACAAATGTCCTTTTTCCAAAGCAAGAGCTCTTAGAAATCTCACAAACAAAGATAGAGAGCCATGGATCCTTGAGTAATGCATCAATTCAAAGAAAAGGAATAGGAGTTTTTAGTTTCCATTCCACTTGAATTTTGACATGTTATAGAACTTAAAGCACAAAGCAATGTCTCTATCGATTTTAACCCCCTTTCATAATTTCCTTTTTATGAAGAGACTTAAGACCTTATGTTTGCAAATAAAATCAACAGGTAGATTTATAAATGCCATAAGAGAGTTAATTTTACAATTATTATTGAGTCTGGTTTATTAAGGATATCAACCTTAAATAGCATAAATTGCACCTCTAAATTGTGTCAAAAGATTAATTTTAGTAACGAAAACCCTATAATTGCTTGAAAATTTATTTATATATCTAATTCTGAAATTTAAAACTCAATAAATAATAAGAAAATTATCATAAATATACTTTAATTTTCACCTTATTAAAAAAAAAGAAGAAACTATTTTTGGTGGTTTAGGGTCTCCATTCTTCCCCTCTAGCGCTGAATTTCTCAGGGGCTCTTACTCTCTGGGGCAAAATTTCTCAGGGGCCTTCTGTTTTTTCGAATAGATTCAATTTTAACAACACCATTTTCGTTTCCTCCCTCTATGGGTTCGATTTTAGCCACACCACTAGTATTTTCTCTTTCTAGAACCTCAAACTTAATGGGGTTTCAAGTCTTTGACGGTCAATAAAACCCCCCATTTCCTCTGGTTTTTTAACTCTCCTCATTCGAGTAATTTTTGCTCTGCCCATTAAAGAATCCCTCCTGAGAAGCACGGAGACTCTCATACATGATGCATAGGCATTTTCCATCCCCATTCTTTTGACTGCATTTACATGTTACAGCCGAACAGCCTGGTTTCGGATGCTTCTTAGCAATGATAAAATTTCTCTTTCTAAATTTTTGGACATTAGGTTGGGTTATTTGCGCTTTCCCTCTTTGATTTGCTTTGGGAGCAAACATTAGGTTGGGTTATTTGTGCTTTCCCTCTTTGATTTGCTTTGGGATGGGAGCGTGTAGTTGCTGGTGTTTTTTGTTTCTTCTACTCAAAACCACCAATTTTCTTTGCCGAAGAGAGATTCGGGATCGAATTTCCCTTCGAGTAGTCATGCTATTTTTTTAGACTATCACCGTTTTTTAAGTACCGTGATACTCATTTGAGTAGACGTTGTACTTTAAGTGCTTTATAATATGTGAAAGCAATGGTTTAAAAAGACGGATCGGTGACTTGGATCGGGTTTCCAAAAAACCGATCCGGATCAGCGAATCGACGATCCGGATTGGAAATCGGATGAATCGGTTAAAATAAAATTTTAAAAAAATCCAAAAAAAATCCGAAAAAATTATTAAAATTCATTATAAATATTATTTTTTAGGAATTCACTAAGAAATGAGGGTACTCCATTAAGAATTTTCATGTTTTTGAATAAATATGTGAATATTGATATGTTCTTTCCCTGCATGAACCGTCATTCAGCATTTAATTTACATCACACAAAAGGATAAACATATAATTATCATGAAATGAGTATATCAACATACATGGACTACAATAAAGCATAAAATTAGTAACATATGATCTAAAAATAAAATGATAGACGACGTTATTGTTCTTCTTGGTCACGCTGGTGCCATTGATTGAATTCGTTTAACAATTCATTGATTCGATCTAAAAACGAATCATCGATATTAGCAGGCGTCTGACTATTCTCAAATCCCTAAATATTAGTGTTTTGTTGTGTTCCCAATCTAAACTCCCCGAAGATTGTTCATCCTTCATGCTCACCTGCACTGTCGTG